TCACAACATATCCCTCCTACTTTGGTATTCAATTTAAGTTTCACCAAGCTCCCAAACCAGATAACCCAGAAAGGCAGATCATAATCATATATCTTTGGTTTACATGTTTGCCAGCATGTAACCTTTTGCTCTGGAACTCAGAAATTTCAACAGCCTGGTTGGTTCCATTTGGCCTCTTCTCAAAGGCCGACTCTTTGCCCAATTTCATAAGTTCTAGCTTCGTTTCATAGATCTAGTCTTTACAGTAGCACTGTCAAAAGTTCGGGTTACCTCTCTACTCAGGTCTTCCAAGTGGGCTTCCATCTTCCTATCTGATTCTCATGATTTACACGACCTAAGGACTTATTTTGGGTTCACACCATCTGGTACTGGTTTGTGTTCTTTCATACAACATTGCACGAATGCCTAAACCTTCCAGTCAGGCTGGTATGACATGGGTTACAGGTATCCTATCCCAACCAATCATGAAAGACAGTTAGCCGTAACACAGAAAGAATTGCAAATTTTCGCTGTCACTGAGATTTGAACTCTAAACCTGCCACTTGGGGGTTGACAACCTATCCACTTCACTAGGTCACCACACCCCATGATGTAATTATTAACTAATTAACAAAACATTAAAAAATTAAAAAAAAACAATTTATTGATTAAAAAATTTTGTCAACTTATAATAAAATAATTAATCAAATCAATAAATAGTTTAATTAACAACTAATTAATTAAAAAATTTTGAATTTGTCAACTAATCAATTGAAATTTTTTTAACAGTTACAAATCATGCAATGTTAGTCTAATAAATAATAAAACAAAACCAATTATAAAAAAAATTTTAGAAAATACATATCGATATATATTTGGTGTTATCTAATTGATGAAGATCATTTAGCTGCGGCTATGGTGCAGATTATTTTTTTTAAATTTTGACCTGGATTTAGAGGTCTACTGTCTTTATAATCAGTAATGTAGATTGGATCGGCGCAGTAGGCACAAAGCACTTAGATTTAAATTTGCGCACATTTCAGTGCTCTCCGTATATATAAAGCGTATAAATCTTTTTTTTATGTACATTGATCATAATGCCGGCTGATATTAATTAATTCGGCCAGAATTTGCGGATCATAATGCTGGCCGGCTTTACGTAATTCCGGCCAATCGCAGAAAATCATCGTCCCTGCTATGGCCTTCATCATGTGACAGTACTTTGGGGCTATTTCTGTATTTCATAAACTTACGTGTCTGAAAAAAACAACACGATTTTTTATATTTCTATCAGAAGAAGTCATGGCGGGGGTTCAAGCCTTTCGAACGGTGAAAATAAACGTGAACTACGAGCAAGATAAAAGTATGTTCAAGACTGTTCAAACTCATATAAGCTTTATATTTCGCGTTTTTTTTTATAATAAAGCTTTTACACGTAAATAACGTAAATACTTAAGAACTACGTTCACTTTATTTCTAAATTAGAGGATATAAAGCTTTTCTTAGAAGCCTTCCAGTCAAGGAGTACTGTGAGCCCAGATGAATTTATGGACATCGATGTGGAAAGTGACGATCCTAATTCCTATAAGTACAAAAGGCAACTTGTAGGTTCTTTAAATTACCTTTGTATTTTTTTTTTTCGCTAATTTGTTAAATTGATTTTATTAATTTGCGAAATCATAGCAAGCTATAGCGAATAGAGAGCAAGATGCTCTTATTATCGAGTTAGACGACATTGCTGCTGTAAACATTTAGAAATTCTTATAAGTTACATCCTTTTTTTGCTTGGTCATTTATTAAATCTTAACGTTTTAGTGGGAAGATAAAGCAGAGGGTGGATTACTTCATAGAATTCAAGAAAACACGCGTCGTTATATCAAAATGTTTTACGATGTTATTGATAAAAAAGAAAATAGACTAATGCCCACACCAGAAAGAGAAATTAATTTTGACGATGATGTCATCGACGTGATCATGCAACATCGAAGGGACAGAGATAGCCGAAGATCTCAAGCCGATCGCACTTCTTTCCCACCATCATTGACAAGGAGATAGTAAGTGCTAACTTCTTTTGATTCATATATGATCTCAATTTTCATAAAATAGTTGTCAAGATTTTTATTTCAAATAATTTAATGAATTTTTGTTATCATATAGTACCATGTATTTTAAACCGTTGTCGTCTGACAAACCTTATTCTATACGTGGCGTGAATGGTAGTTGCGTTGGCCACTTAGTGACTATACAAGGCATCATTACTCGTGTTTGTGATGTAAAGCCATTTTTAATGGTTGCTGGATTTTCGTGTGAAATGTGTGGCGAAGAGGTGTTCGAAGAAGTGACAAAAAAGACTTATTTACCACGCGTTGAATGCCCGTCAGAATCTTGTAAAACAAATAACGTAAAAGGCAAATTGTATATGCAGACGCGCTCTTGTAAATTTGTACCGTTTCAAGAGATCAAGATGCAAGAATTGGTAGGCCAAATTATTATGTTTTTTAGACACCATGTTTAGGCCTTCACACGAACCGGGTCGGGTAGTAACAGTACCCTAGCCCTGCTTGTGTAAGTGCTCAAATTCCTACCCTTACCCTAGGGTCTGGAAATTGATACCATATTCTGGATCTTGTAGATCTATCCATGGGTAGTCTATATTGAGAACTAGTCACACACGGGCTTGGACAAACTTTATCCATACTCGTTGGGTAAAGGCACAACTTTTAAGCTTTTACTACCTTGATGCCCTGGCCCGGCTCTTGTGTGCCTACCCTCGGATACCCATGGGCAGCACAAGTTCATGCGAAGTAGTGATTGGAACCGTTTTAGTCGACTATTATGTTTAATCGATTAATTGACTAAACATAATTGTTTGCTATACTGACTTTTTTAGTCAATTAAACCGATTCCAGTCCTTAATGCGAAGGCCTACGTATGTTTAATCAAGCAATTTATGATTTTTTTTTCTTTTTAATTTAAACCTAGACCGAACAAGTTCCAATAGGACATATTCCTCGAACAATGACCATCTTATTGCATGGTCCTTTGACGCGTACAGTAAGTCCAGGGGATGTGGTAAATGTATCAGGAATATTTCAAGCAACACCACATTATGGCTACAAGGGAGGAAATACTCTACTGACCGATGTTTATCTTGAAGGTCAGTATGTTCATCAACTCAAAAAACAATATGATAAAATGGAAAAAATTCCAGAAATTCAGGAAAAGGTAAACAAACTTGCTAAGGACCCCGATGTTTATACCAAATTATCGAGGAGTATCGCTCCAGAAATATATGGTCATGAAGACGTAAAGAAAGCATTGTTATTGATGCTCGTTGGCGGTGTAACAAAAACAATGGGGGATGGAATGAAAATTCGTGGTGATTTGAATATATGTTTAATGGGAGACCCAGGTGTTGCCAAATCGCAATTACTTAAATACATATGTAAAGTAGCACCACGGGGGGTATATACTACCGGACGTGGTAGTTCAGGTGTGGGTTTGACAGCATCAGTAGAGCGGGATCCAGTAACGAATGAAATGGTGCTAGGTAAGAATATTATATTAACAATATGCATTACCGCATAATGGTCATAATTTCATGTTTTGATTTGTCTAAACGTTAGAGGGTGGTGCATTGGTTCTTGCGGATAACGGTATTTGTTGCATCGACGAATTCGATAAGATGGAAGATACTGACCGAACATCCATTCATGAGGTGATGGAACAACAAACTATTAGTATCAGTAAGGCAGGCATCACAACTACATTGAATGCACGTACGTCAATTCTTGCCGCTGCGAATCCACTTTATGGACGATATAATCCAAAAGTATCTCCGAGTCATAATATAAACCTTCCTGCGGCTCTTTTGTCAAGGTTCGACATTCTGTTTTTGATCTTGGATAGACCAGATATGGACGAAGATGCAAGGCTGGCACATCATGTGGCATACGTTCACATGCATGGTAAACAACCTCGAACGGATACCGAAGTGCTGGATGCAGATACGATCAGGTGAGTTCCTTGTTATAATTTATTTAATGACATTTAACACCTATAATTCACAAGATATTTTATGAAATAGACATTACATTGCTGAAGCTCGTAGTAAACGGCCAGTTATTCCAGAGGCGATAGCAGGGCATATGGTCGATACATATTGCGATAATCGACAAGAGCAAAAGATTGCAGAAGCACGAAAGAAAGAATTTACTTATACGAGTGCTCGTACGCTTTTGGCAGTGATTCGTTTATCACAAGCATTGGCGCGTATTCGACTCCAAAATGAGGTTAAAAGTTCTGATATCGATGAGGCATTAAGATTACTTATGGTATCAAAAGAAACATTAAATGATCCAGCAGACAGAGATTCTAGAAGTGACAGATCACCGACATCTCTTATTTATGATATTATTATATCAATTTTTCGAAGAAGTAGAACTAATGGTACGCTTCAGTATCTCGATATCAAAGAAAGAGTGATTGCGCAGGCATATACGGAAGATCAATTAAAAGAATGTATCAAAGAATACGAAGAAATTGGTATTTGGGCCTTGAATAGCGAGCAAACAATTTTATCGTTGCTTCAATATGATCAGCTTGAAGATGATCAGAACGACTAATAATTTGTAAATAAATAGAATAACTGTAAAGACTTGAAAAATTTTGCTAATAAAACAAAAATATTGTATTGTTTATCTGGCAACTGTGATTTTGTCAATTATATTTCATGTATAACAATAAATATTTAAGATGTTTATTTAATTGTTTTATTTTAAGTCCTCGTCATCGAAATCATCAGGAAAATCTTATTCGAAAATGAGATAAATCATTAAAATGAGAAAACATATATCAAGCTATTATAATGAATAGATAAAAATACCATTAAAGAAATCCTGGTCAACAGTTTTATCACTTTGCTGGTTTTGCCTGTGATGATGACTACCGCCCTTGTGATGCTGTTGATGTACAGGCCCTGAAAAGAAACCTTCATCATAACCACCAGCTTCTCTTATACCGTAACTTGACTGAGGATTATATGAAGGACCGGCAGTACCGTCGAGTTGTCCATCGTCGTATTCATCCATATTCATTGGATCATAGCCATATTCATCTTGGAATTCGGTTTTTAAGTCATTTTAGAAAGGAAACAAATCCAATCCGCAAGTTTTAGCACGAAGAATAAAATATTATAGCACAAACAAGGTATCACATTTCTTTTTAATGCATTTACACCTTAATTTATTTAGAACCTTTAAACTTACCATCTCCCTCTGGCATTTGAGACATTTCGCCGTTATTTTTTCCTTTCGATTTCCGTTTTCTTTTCCCTATCGTGAAAACTTTACTTTAATAAGCTTTTATTATTATTATTACTACTACTACTATTATTATTATTATTATTATAAGGAATGTCAACCAAAAAAGTTTGGCGCAAGTTTTTCCCCCGTACTTTGCTTTTTGCGCGATCAAGAGACTTGAAAGAACAGTCGCGAATTAAGTCGAACAAAATTATTTATATAACGATATATTTAGCGTCAAGTTGTACAGATTATACATTTAAGTCATCTGACTAACATTTGAATCTTAATTGGGCGATTTTGAAACTTTTTGCCTGCCTTTGCTTTTATATACAGGAAACTTTCAATTAAAATTGTTTTTTTTTTTCTTTAGATTTCGATTTCATGGATTTCACGAATTTTAACTCATTAATTAAATTTAATTATCATTTTATATATTTTCTATACATCCACCTGATTTAAAACGAATAATTTAGTATATGGCAAGAATTTTAACCTTAACGTCAAAAGTGTAAATAAAGCGGACATACCACTGGAGTCCATAAACGAATGATAATCCAATAGCACCCAATCCTACATTAATTTTGCTAATAGAAGGCCTTTTATATACCCAACGCACAAAAATTCCAACAAGAGCAACATCAACAACAACACCACTTAAGGCAATTGTTCTTTTTGAAATTTTGCCATTTCCTCGTCCTCGCGCTCCTTTACGTGGTTCGTCTTGAGCTTCTGGTTTAGAGCCGAACAGTGCAGCATCATGATTTTCCATCTTTTGATCTTCAAATTCAACTTGAAAGGGTTGAATATTTCGTGAACGAGTGTTGTTAGTAATCACGTTTGCTTCTAAATTTTCTGTTCTATCTTCTTCGTCAGCAGTTTTCTCAGTCCCCTTAACCGCTGCAGCGTACGAAAGCGTAGCCATGGTTTGATTAGTAATGTTCAGGAATGTTTAAGTCAGAAAGTTAGCATTTATTTATATAAATAATTTTTTAGCTTAAAACATGATTAACACATGTCCATCGTCACTATGAATCATGATTATAAATAGTTTAAATAGTTTGATATAACTGATGTGCATGTTTTAAAATTATCGATTTTTTTATCATAAAGATTGCACAAGATGTCGACTCAACCGTATATTGTAACTTTAAAACCAAAGCGTTTATTATTAAACCCGAAATTTGAAGGATATAAATTAAAACTTTTTGATGAACGAACTCGATTACAACATTTTCCATTACCACCACCTGGTATATCAATATCGAGGTTTTCTGGCTCAAAATTGTCATATAAAGAAATCCAAAATCGTATTCATTATAACCATTTATTTCTTGGATATGAAACCATTGATAAAAAAAGTGTCTGCTTTTATTTTGATAAGGAATTTTATATTTCAATGATTGAATATGATCAGGTATTAGAGTTATGAACGTTGATTCATATTTCTAATAATCGATAACTATATATACTTAATTGTAATACTTAGACGTCAAATTTCATCACCACACATCGTCTCGTAAATATTCCGCAATTCCTGGGCGATCAAACACATACCGAGGTGCGCGATGCCCTGACATCAAATTTAGAATATCCATCCTTAAAAGCTTTATCGTCGACATTATTGCTAGTAACAAGTGGCACTGGAATGATTGTTCTCGTAAAAATAGTAAATGAAGAATCTAATAATTATTATGGCAAAATTATTCATCAAACAAATATCAATATTTGTTCAGAAGATGAACCCATGGATAAGAATATGTCCAATCACATACCATTTGTCATTCTCGATGGAAAGATTGTAGGTGAAGGTGATAATGCATATATTCTATTTTCGATTTATTACACAGTTCCGAGGCAAGAAAATTCAATTACTGACAATCTACCTAAGGATAACTCCAGAAAAACTTTATTTGACGTTTCTTTACTGAAAATGTCTTTAGAACACCCATATTGTATTCAAACATTACATACTCTTCGTGGGACTGAAACACCCCTTTATTATAATATTGACATCCATGGAGATGGGTATGTTATAGGTAGTAACGTAGAATACGACATAATTAAAAGATCATCTGATCAAGGGTTTAAGATAGATGAATTAGACAAACCAGATAACGTTGTACAATCAAACCAGGACGTTGAAATGAAAGAGATAAAATCCGACAATGATGATAAATTGGTCCCATATATTTGGACGCAAACTTCAACCGACCTTACAATTTGTTTTCAATTGCCACCTGATACACCTAAAACAGCAGTCCATTGCAATTTTACCAAAACACATCTTTCTCTCACTATTGATATTGACTCTAACGCAAACAACACAGATTTATTTCCACAATCACCTATACCTTGTTATGCTTTTACGCACTTATTTGACCTAATTGATCCGAGTTCTTCTCTATGGACAATTGAACCAAAAATTGGATTATTGACACTTCACCTTGAAAAGCATCATCATAATACACGTTGGTCACACGTTTTCCAGCAAGATGATGGAGTTTTTGAAACAATTGATCCTAATGAGTTTGCAGAATTTCGGGAGCGTTTAGAAAAATATACAGCAGAATTTAATGATTCTAAAATCGGACATCAAGGCATATTAGATGCACTGAAACATCCCATTGGCCACGAGATGGAAGAGTCCATCGATTTCGAGAATCATGCAGCTATTTTTATGTGGGTTGATATTGATGGAAAAATAGGAGCTAAAACTAGTGCAGGAGGACATGAATTTATTTCTCGGCAATTTGAGATTGAGATTTCTGATAAACAAGAATTAATAAGTGATGTCTCACCAATGCCATCTGTATGTTTAAGATCAGATGTGGATGGACTAGTATATACGATTTCACGTCCGTCCGAGCAATCGAATCCTAACGCGTCACCATTAGTAATGGATCATTCAACAACTTTTAATGCATTTGCCTTTGTTCAAGCATCTAAACAAGAAAAAAATTTCGTTTTTCATGACCCTTATAATCGTTTCGTGATGATTCTAGAAGGAAAACATCATGCGTTCATATATTGGCGTAATAAAGATCGTGTAAAGTATGATGATCAATTTGTAGTGGATTTTTCGGAAAAAATAAGTAAGGATACGGATATAATTGGAGTTCAAATGGTGGCATCTAAGGAAGCAGTGATCATGGTTCTTGTTCCCGATTCAGTAATTATAATAAAATTGATGTAAGTTATCCATGAAAATCTGGACCAGATAAATGCCTTTCAAAATAATACTGTAACACTATACATGAAAACTAAGAAGTTGTTATCAAAATATAGCAATAGCTAGCACACCAATTTGAAAGTTTTCAAGCAATTGACAATACAATCCGAGACTGCAAAATCAAGCCTGATGTACAACAAATAAAATACAGAAAAATGTAGTTAAAAGACTTGTATAAGAAAATATATATATATACATATATATATATTGAATGATAAGGTCTTGCCTCGTATATTTTACTAAGTGTTACATCATACACAATTAATATTATACAATTTGAATTCTATCTATTTTAGACCATTAGAGGTTTAAATTATTTTATAGTTAGACTTTTCTAAGTGCATGCTCTTGAAATCATATTTTAGTAACGATTATTTAGTGTATTTAGAGAATAATAAGCAAAAGTGATCAAGTATATTTAGATCATAATTTGAGTATGTATTTAGAGAGGGTATATATTTATAGAGAATGCGCTTGGAGAAATTTGATTGTATTTATAATTTAATTTTTTTTTTAGTGTTAAGGTGAGGTCTTGCTTCAAATCTATATTAGTATATAAGTCGTCAGAATGAGATTATTGTAGACTTAGAAAGCACCTAGTTGATTCCGAATAAACATAGGCTGTAATAGAATTCTAAAGTGTGTCTGAGTTGTTAAAGAATTCCAATTCAACTTTAAGATAAAGTTTATTTATAACATTGCGCATTGCGAATTAATTAAATTTAAAAGCATTACACTAAGTTTTTACATTTATGATTAGTGAGCACTTTCATTTTTTTACATTTACAATGACTTTTATCACACGCATTTTTGCAATTGCATTTAATATTACCTACTTGTGAAGGAGCATTTAGAACGCTTAAAAAATACTACCAACTTGTGAAACTCAATGAATACAGGTGAGATTGAGTCAAATTTAATAAGTTCGATCATTATTGTGTTTGTTGGATCTTGTAAAACCGTAATGCAAAAACAATAAAAAATTTGTATGTTATCTTATAATGATGACGTAAATCGAATTTAAAATCAACTTAAATTGCTATTAACTTATTGATTATACAGTATCATCTAGAATCGACTTAAGTTACTTTTAAATTTCGTATCAACTTGGTCTACATTTGGAATCCCGTTCCAACCTATGTTGGGTTCTAAACCTACATAATTCCATTCCGACGTATGACATATCTCTCTCTTTTGAAATAAGAAAGTCTATCCGTTCTTTCGAATTACGTACAAATATTAGTAAGGATAATGTATATTACGTCAAATGCATCCTCCATAAATGTATTCTGTATACCCTCTCTAAATGCAAATTAATAGTCCCGAGCATATAAAGCACTTAATAAAATGTCCATAAATGTACACTCCCCCTAAATGCACATTTTGCCTAAAGTCCCAAAGGGGAGCATTTATAAAGAGTAGACTATATTATCAAAAGTATATCTCTTGTCTCGTTACACAGATAAAGGACGCAATCGGCATACGTTTTCCGAAAAAAACTTATTCAAGCATTTATGGGATAATGACAATTAAAAAAAAAACTTTAAAATCGGAATGAAGCACCGATTGATCTTATTTAAAAGATAATTATATAAATTCTATTGACATTTCAAAAAAAAACAAAAAATTAAAAATTAAAATTAAAATATCCTCTAATAATGACAACAGAACAAGAACCACTTTTATTATACTTATTAGGAGATTCATTAACGGAAGGATATGTAGATTTTGGTACAGATTTTCATTCATATAGTATCAATTTACAAAAAAGATTCAAGCAAGCTGGAATTGAAGTTGTTGTAAGCATCTACGAGTAAAATGAACAACTTTAGTTTTCATTATATTAGAATGTTTATCCTTTTTTTACAATGTTTTACAATTTTTTATTAATTCGACATAAAAGGTTAAAGAGGAAGGGGTATCAGGTGATCGCGTTCGTTCAAAAAATATGGAAAAAAGATTAAGGAAATTTTTGGGGGAAGTTTCGAATAAAAATCAAAGAGTTGACTGGGTTATCATAATGGGAGGTAAATTTAGTTAACCTATTTAATTTCCTATCAATATTAATGTTAATGATCATACCTACGATTCATCGTTAGTTCAGTGTAACTATATAATATTTTATCGACTTGATTATCTTAATTATTACTAATTTATATATAGGTACAAATGATCTGTTTACATCGAGTGCGGAAAGCATTTTTGAAGCTTTAAAAGGACTTTATGACGTTTGTGAAGAATATAATACCAAAGTTTTAGCAATGTCTATCATTGAATCTAGAGCGGTATGAACGATTATATCGATAAACTAATTCGGTTGAAGATTAATAATAATGATTTATTTTTGAACAAATAAATAAACTTAGGCATTGTCTTCGTCCAAAAATAACGATAAAAGGACAAAAATCAATGAATTTATTAAGTAAGTAATAATATTATTATTATTATTAATTTGTATATAAAAGATGGTTTACAATGAATTTTTCTTAGAGATTATGCAAAAACGAACGAAAATGTTACGTTTTATGATTTAGCCAAGGATCTACCATATGAAGATAATTTAGATTGGGATCTTGATGGTCTTCATTTGACAACCAGTGGATATGATCGTATGGGGGATTTGATTTTTGAATCATTATATAAAGAGATTAAACCAAACTAATTTAATAGAAGTTTGAAATTTTGCCATTATCTTAAACGAAATTAGCGTTATAGGCTTGGCTTCGAAGGAGTTGGATCAAAAAATTCACTGAATGTCCGGATATATTTTTCATCGAATCTCTATCTGAAAGAGAAACTTTACATCTATTATTTTATAGTTCATTTATTAATTTTTTTGCTAATATAAGATATAAATTTAAAGGTTATATCAAACCATAGCCATCATAATTTTACTCTAAAAAAAATAAATATGAAATTACAAGATAAAATATCGTTAAAAAAAAATAAAGTTGTACAACTCGATACCTCTTGTATCAATCGAATGCTATCTTTTCTTAAATCCATATTTTTTCCGTTCATAAAATAGATCCGTTTTTGATGATCCAAGATTCACAATCTTTGGACAGCCATCTCTCTAATTTGATAAAATTATGTTATCATTAATAAATAAGACAAAAAAAAATAATAATTTATGAAAAATAAGATTACGTCTTTCTCTTGTAAAACACATTCTTTACAGTAATAAGCATCCGAAACACCAGGTGCACCACAAATCACACAACGTCCTTGGTAAGATCCATAATTGCATTCATCACAAATTCTAGAAAATAATGTAAAGTGTTACATACAGTTTTGATTGTTATTAAAGATTATACATTACTAACCGAACAAGTGTATCTGGCCGTACGTATCTGGAAAATTAAAATTTTTCATAATTTAAATTTGATAATATATATATATATATATATTATTTTACTTACGAATCACAGATCACACATTTACCGTCACATTTTTCACATAAACGACCGATAGCTATTGTTTGACGCAAGACATTAGCATATATCATGAAATATAAAATTTATTTCGAAACAAAAGATTTCTAAAGAAAAAAGCTGTTAAAAAAAATTATACCAATGCCAGGTTGCTTACGACACATGATAAGATCTGGATGATGCTTTGCCATTGTTGATAATGATCAAGCGAATTTAGTTTGCTGGTTTTAAGTAGAACGGTCGAAGTAGTAAATTAAAAGAAGTAACGGTAATTTAAGACTCGAAAATATATAAAAATTTGAAAATTTATCTGTGATTACGTAATCAACATGCACCTTTTGATTTGCTTAAAATAACAATGAACTTTTACTCTTTATAACGATAATACTAAACAAATAAATAAATAAATACGTAGCATCGTATTTAAATAAGTAATCATTTATTACAATTATACTAAGGCATTTAACGCAGTGTTAAAAGACATCTGTCATGTGTTTTTGGAAATTCAAGTAATGTAAAACTGCCGTGATATTAAAGAACTTGTTGCTAAAATTAACAAGGGTCATACGAAAAGTAAGTTGATTTAAATTACTTTCGAATTTTTTGATGTAAACTTTATTCTAATGCGTTTTATTTCTTGGTGATATTTTCTAGGCTGCCTTGAATGAGCTTCGTAAACTTGTTGAGTTGGATTTTAGATAGGTATATATATGCAAAATTGCCTTTCCGACATTTTTACCTGAGGTATACCTGAGGTGGAGATAAATCGCGTGACCGCATGCCAATCAAATTATAGAATTTTGATGATCGCCGGAGAAAAGAAAAACGAAAAACCTAAAAAATACAAAAAATGGCAGTCTAAACCTACTTTAGACGACCCCCGTAATTGAGAAATGCCCCTATCTCTAGTAGTGAAGCATGTAAACTAAAAGGAAGGTACAATAATATTATAATGTTTATTAGTTTTGTAGAACAATGGTAAACAACTTGTACAAAAAAAGGTAGTGTATTATTATCTATTTTTTTTCTTGCGAATTCTGTAAAAATTTCGACTTTTCTTATTTTAATAGTTGGTGTACCATTATTAATGTAAAGGTTGAAAAGTGTGTTTAGTATGTTCTGATACTTTTTGTATTATTGGAAGATTCGTTGGTCAGATCCTCTATTTCAGAATCTTATAAACTATTATTATTATTATTGTGTTTTCTACTTATACATAATACGTAGCTACACTGCTAATGCTGAAATTAGCTACGTACTGCTAAAATTTGGACTATTTTATTACGTATACGTACACTTCCCTGACAAAAGTCACCGGCTGACGATCATTTTTGGAATGATCTGTAAATGAATAAAGACTTTTTAAATCAATTTTATGAAAAAAATTAATAATATTTTCTGTTTTTTTTTTAAAAAAAAAATAAAACCAAATGCTTCTAATATTTATTTATATATTTAATATTTTGTAGGATTTCCTTTAGCTTTTTTTACAGCACATACACAATTAGGCATGCTATTAATCAAATTATGATAAACAGATTTGTCTAAATTGTACTACTTCTCTTCCAAAAAGGAAAATAGTTCAGCCTTACTAGTTGGTAAAGAAGTATGTTTATGAACTTGGCATTCTAATTCATCCTAAAGATGTTTAATAGGGTTAAGGTTTGGACTTTGTGAAGATCATGGAAGATGAGTGATTTGATTTTCTTATATCCAATTTTTTACAAGCTGGGTATGATAAATTGGAGCATTGTTATCTTAAAAAGTATATTTAATATTTGAATTAAGAATTTCTAAAAATGATAACAAATGAGTTTTCAAAAACTCAAGATAGTCATTTGAAGATTGATGATTATTAATTCAGATCAATAGTTTCAAACCATCTACAGTAAAACATCCTCATATTATTATTCATTTTCTATTAGACTTAAAAGTTGAAACAAGACAATTTATATTATATTTTTCATTAAGTAAACATCATACATAATGATGACCATCACTATCATAAATTTCAAAATGAGATTTATCATTTCAAATAATGATATTCTATTCTGCAGTCCAATTTAAGTGTTCATTTGCTCATGTGTGATAAAACTTCCAATTTGGTTTATTAATAAATAGTTTTCTTTTACCAGCTTGAGCATAATAATCTTCTTTATAAAGATATTATTGTAGAGTATGTGTTGAAACATTTACAGAAGTTGATTGCAAGAATTCATCTTGCAAAATATTCAAAGTGATCTTGTGATTTTTTTTTATAACACAAACTAGATAATATTTATTATAGTTATTTAATATAAGTGATCTACTACTTCAGACAGGATTTTTTATTTTACCAGTTTGTTTATATAAATTAATTATATCTTGAATTATTGTTTTAGCAAAGCTAAGATTTTTTATGATAGTAGGAACTAGAGAATCACACTTTCAAGCACTGATTATCTGACTTTGTTTACTTTTAAACAATTCTTTTTATTTTGTAATATTGTAAAAAAACTTCAAATAAAATTACTATTTTTTTTAAATTTTTAAAAATTATAAATCTTAAACTATCTAACCATATAAGTGTTCACAATATATTTTCTAACAATTGCATAAAAACAGATTTTCAATAAATTCTTTCATTTGCTAATCATCACCAAAAATGATCATCAGCCAGTGACTTTTGTCAGGTGAGTGTATATCAAATTTTAGTATCAGCCAATTTGTTTGAATAATTTAAGCATTCAAAAGTAGAATTAATTTGGCAAATTAATATGACATTAGTAGCTAACCCACAAAAATTTTCTTGCACATGCCATATTATTTGCCATAATCATAATACCATAATTCTTGAATGTGTGCCAGATTTGTGATGCAGACTTCCTTAACTACAAATTAGATTTCAAGATCAGGCATAATGTAAAGCGATCAAGAAAATTCAAAGCAAATGCCCGTTTTGTCAAAAATCGCTTACTTTTTTTTTTTTTTTTTGATTTTACTTTCCTCCACTATCCTGAAGGTCCTTAGACACCTTTAGGATCTGTCACATCTCTTAAAGGCCAGAGTTATCATTCTGCGGAGATCATCAGACGGCAGGTGGCCCCTATATTCATCACCATGCTCGTGAAATAGCTCATGCTCTGTTAAGTCCATCATATGATGTCCCGGGTTCCTGGTTTCGCAGTGTAGAACCTACTATCTTTATTCGGTCCGCAGTTCCCTAACTTCACATGACCCACTAGCCAGATTGTTCTTCTATTATTCATTTCTTTATATTACTTTAAGCTGGGAAACCTTATGTTAACGATATTTCTTGTCAGATTTTCCCTTTTCTGGGTGCTGCATGACCTTTGTGACTATGTCATACGACTTATTTATCGTTGTAGTAATCTGTCCGAAAGTGGAAAGCTCCTCTTAAAGATCATTTCCAATTGTGGTCCTGGCACAGCTTTTATCTCCCAGTTGGACTCAAACCGGCAACCTTGCGATTATGACCTCCGGAGTGCTAACCACTGTGCTATCGACCCAGAGGTCTATTGCTTACTTTTCAAAAATCAGCATAAGAAATTCCTTCTGATTCCATAAATAAGCATGAAATTCTGTGTTGATCATTGTGGCGCAGATCTCTCTTATATATTAACCCTAGCCGCAACAAATTGTCTCGATTTTGATTGGCTAAGAGTGATAATCCAAAATTTTGGCCGGAATTATACTAAAAAATCACAACGTCCATTAAGTGAAAATTGTTCCTAGACTAATTTTTATCATTGTGTGAACCTATTTCTTTGAAAGTTGCTATTTTTTTTGGAATGAAAAGTTAAAAGATTAATTCCGGCCAGAAATTAGTAAACAATTATGTAATTCGATCCAAAATTTTGCAGATCCACAGCCGTTAGCCAATCAGACCTGTCTGTGAATTAATCATCGGTACAATAAGCTCGTCCACAAAATTAATTGTCAATAAAATAAGCCTATCCACAAATTATTGGTAATTTAAGTTGTTGAAATACTTGTATAGATTTGGGTCCTAATAAACAATAGATTCCGTTAAATTTTAGCATAAACACTAACTTATTTAACCCTAAAGCTATCCTTACTCTAACTTTAAACCGGATCTAATTTTTTGCTTACGATTTATATTTTATACGAGTTTGCAAATTAATTAATTAATACCCGTGTCTATAAATTCTGTGTTCTACTTATTAATTTTCTAATATCTATATTGTACACTAACATTTGTCGAATTTATGAAGATTGGTCGAGAGTGGCATGTTTAAATGATCTATTCATTTGCTTAGAGAATTTTATGCTGAAAATCTATTCAAAAGACATTTTAGAATATTTTCGCGTTATATTATGACACAGTTGTCGTATACTAATAACCTTACAGATAGATTGACATTAATAAACGGAATAGTCTCAAATGATAAAATGATTCGTTACTGGTTATTTTTGAGTTCAAGCTTAAATAACTTTACTAAATAGTTATATCGAATAACTTATTGGATAACTTTATCGTTATTAATAATTTATTCAAGATTTTTATTAAATAATTTCTTTAAATAATTTATTATTATATATTAAATACAAAAGTTTTTTATTTTAGAGGAAAATTCTATTTCTCCCAGGTTAAAGTCACCCAAAATATAACTAATACTATTAATTTTTAGTTACGTAAATGACATTATAATTTATTGGGTGACTTTAAGTTAGGTGAAAATAGAATTTCCCTTTTAAAATACAGAAATATATCGTTACAAATCTAATAAACATTTAAATTACTAAAAACTATAAACTAAACTTGAGATACTTGGTTTTGAAGATTATTTCTTCTATTTGTTCCAACCACCACGTAGAGGTGTATCTATAGTTGTTAGGCGAAACCTGGTTTCGACTTTCGCCAAAAAAAAATTAGAAAGGTGAAATGGCGAAACTGACGAAACTGGAGATAAATGGCGAAACTGGCGAAAACTGAAAAAAGGCATGAAACTATAGTTGTTAGGCGAAACACGACCTAAACCCGGCGAAACACGAAACTGGCGAAACTTCGGCGAATGGCGACACATAAAATAGTTCACTTTACAACATGGCTCAGTCTTTTCCAAAGTCTTAGAATTTAAACTTGCTGAGAGCTTGGACTTCGTCTCTCTATGAGGGTTTCGCCATTCACCAGAGTTTCACTAGTTTTGTGTTTCGCCATTTGCGAAAA